AGAAATCTGTCTGCAGCCACACATTGTCTTCCATGAGCTATTTGGATGACTCAGTCACGCTATAGTAGAAGTGAATCTACATCTCTCTGTATTTACTCTTCATGAATAGTACTGTGATGCTCTCACTAAATGGAAATACCTCTTTCCCAAGTTGGGCAAACCTAGTCTGATTTCACACTTATATTTTACTTAGTTGCATGATTTTTCATCTGAACATGTTAAGTTTTCTTAGATGGCAACTGTATTTGTTTCTCCTGCCCACTGCTCACACATAGCCATGTGCTTTATGTGTGACATCAGGTTAAAGAGGAGCGCTCAATGTCCACCTTTGAAAATGCTTCATTGCCTCCTGGTGAGTTTGAACATATCCATATGTGATATATAATTATTGCTCCACCCCCTTGTACCTCTTTGGGGATGCCGGGGCTCATTATCTAGGGAAGGTTCTATAGGGGTTATATAACTAGAGAAAGAGGAGCGGATTTATGAACCTGTAAGTCACCTTCTAGGCCCTGACTTGATACACAGGATGGAGGCTTCGTGCAGGTGTATACACACCTTCTCGATGAGCTCGATGCAGGCAGCCAGGTCCATCCCGAAGTCAATGAACTCCCACTCGATGCCCTCCTTCTTGTACTCCTCCTGCTCCAGCACGAACATGTGGTGGTTGAAGAACTGCTGCAGCTTCTCGTTGGTGAAGTTGATGCACAGCTGCTCCAGGCTGTTGAACTGGTGTTTTAAACACCGAAGAGTTTGCGTGAACTGGGGCAATCCATCGGGAGGGTAGCAAAGAAGACACGAGGAGAGAATGCTCCGTGGGCCACTTGTTTCCCCAGACAACTCACATCAAAGATCTCGAAGCCAGCGATGTCCAGCACCCCGATGAAGTACTGCCTGGGCTGCTTGGTGTCCAGCTGCTGGTTGATGCGGGTGACCATCCACAGGAACATCTTCTCGTAGACGGCCTTGGCCAGGGCACCCACTGAGTTGTACACCTTCAAGAACAGCAGTGGTTTCATTTTTTGAATTGGGAACAATGATGAACTCAGGAGTCTCCCCTAATTTAAATTGATCAGAGAGCTGAAATCACGCCTACCTGCTGCACAGTCTGACCCTTGGTGACGTACTCGTTGCCGACCTTCACCCTGGGGTAGCAGAGGGCTTTGAGCAGGTCAGCAGAGTTGAGACTTGTCAGATAGGCGGCCTTGTCAGCAACTGCATGAACAAGACAGGAACAGTAGTTGACACAACTCAGTGTGTGAATGCTGATGATTCCAACAAAAAAGTTTGCTTGCAAAGAGTCATCTTTGCAAATGCGGCCAAACCTGTCCACGTGTTTATTATTTTTGCTATTATTGTTATGGCTTCAACAATTGAAGCAATCATTTATGTTTATTATTAATATTAATTATTGTTAATAATATGTCTATTATTGTTTCAACAATTGAAGCAGTATTATCACGGGTTCTATTAACTGTAGCTATTTTTTTGCACTGATAATTTGGAGTTTGGGGAATAGATTCTCTGTGCAACATCTAAAATACAGTTAAAGTCAACCACAGGTATAGACACATAGCTTGGAAAAC